GGATAACATGCCACCTGATAAGGGGTACCCCTCCCATGAGCCACACCAAATACCACTGACCGGCTCCAGCCCCTTCCCTCCCAGCATCTAAGGGCGACTGTGATTCGGGATCGACTTTAAGCCTCGAGTGGCTAGCCCTCAGTGGAACCTTTGTATGCGACAGGGAGGCTGGTGGGTAGACTAAGGATCTTTCCTAGACACGGCTACGGTCCATACCACCAAGGGGGAGTGTACCTCCCATTGGCCCTGGGCAACAGCAGGTGTCCAAATCCATCATTGTCTTTGCTCCTTGAGCCCCTTCTGGATGAACCTGATAGCGGGCCTTATACACACCCTCACCCATCCGTAGCAGAGACCTGTGCAAACCCTTGGCCCCCCCCACAGCAGAGTTCAGAGCTGGGAGATCACCCTCACCTGTGCATGGCATGTCGTAGATAGGCCGGAGCTGGCACGCATATCCGTCCTGTCATGCCCAAAGGCATATGTAGTATCAAAGCCCTAGTGCAATGTGTCAATGGCCCAGCCTCAGGGGAATGGCCCTCCTTCGCTATGCCACAGGGTATAGGCTGGATCACATTACCTATGGCTGACCGTGCCTTGCCATCCTCACCAACAGCCTGGATGCTGAATGACTAACTAAGCTCCGGAGCATCGGACCCCATCATACAGGGTCACACCAGCCCGTACAGAGCCGAGAGGTGACCCATCCGAACGCTAGCAAGGCACACAGCCAGAGCCCCTTACCGAGACGCCAGGGAGCCCACATTCAAAGTGGGTAGGGCCCCAGTCAGCTAGCCCTCAGGTCAGCATACGGGGGCTGTTCCCCTCTTGGTAAGCACAGGATCGCCCTATGAAACCCTCCCCGCAGCCTTTGACATGACCATCATAGAAATTAGAATAAATCAGAAATATCAAATCCGGTCTTAATACTGTCCCGCAAACTCCATATCCTCCTCTACAGTAGAATCCCTCTCATCATCACCCCCATAGCCCTCGCCCGCCACCTCCTCAGGGGAAATCCCCGGTAGAGCGGCGAACAACTCCTTTGACTCTGCCATGGCCTGCGAGGCCTTCTCCGCACCCCACCCCTGGCCACGGCCCTTCCCCGAACTCCGTTTGTATCGCCGGCTACCGGGGGAACTAGCCTCCCCATGAGCACCATGCCCAACCCCACCCTGCACTCCCACCTCTTCCACCAGTGCCCGCTTTCTAGCCTGCTGCCCCAGCAGCCTCAACACACGAAGGTCAGACATGCTAGCTCCCGCACTCGGAGGTGAGCTCACAGCTCGACGCCCTACAGGTACCGCCGAAGGAAACCGAGCTTTGTACCCCCCCACCACATACGTGTTCTCTCCCTTAGGCCAATGCCCACAGGGAGGGTGCCCAGGGGGGAGGTCCAGACCTGAAGCAACATCCACTAATACCGTAGCCACCGAGCCGTCCGACGTGATAGACCCATCAATCGATCCTTCATCGACGGGGGCCAAAGGCAGCTCTAGTCCGGCCAGTGGGGGGGGAGAGCCGACGAACAAACCTGCGATCACAGGCGCATTATCAGCCACCCATGGCACCACACTGGCAGGGCTAGCCACCACCCTGGGCTCAGCCACGAATAGCTCAGGTGCCTGCATCTGAGAAGGGAAGGATGCCACCGTGGGTAGCCGCGCTGTAGCAACCTCCTCTTCTTCTTCAGCCACCCCCCCACTGGGAGGCAGCGTTAGGTCCCCAGGCCTGCCGAATGGAGGGGAGGGCGAACGCCAAGCTGAAGCCAAGGCCACATGCTCCCGCTCCGACAAGTGGAGTCGATAGGACAGCACCGAGACATGGTGGTGAAGGCGGGAGAACCCCTTTCAAAGAAGAGACGCCTCATCGACCGACGCCGAGAGGGGAGGGAAGGCCACAGCAACCTTGCTCTCTGAAATGGAAGAACCTCGCTTAGCTATCGAAGCGACCGACCGAAGCGAACGAACGACAGAAACGAAGAACTTAAAGGTAACAAATGAAAGGACAAAGCCCTTCGAGGTTAATAACTGTAAGTAAAGGTAAAGATTCCTTCACAAACAAATCCTGAAGCTATCGTAAGATAGAATCAAGGACAGCATGGTGGTTAGGAGGATCCTTGGAATGTAAGAAAGGGTGTCCAAAGGAGATTACCAGATTGCGTAAAGAACATAAAGTATAAGGGGGCACACCCCCTCATATAGATAGGAAATCCTGCATGATCACTAATACAAAGGAATGCTCTTGGCAGGGTGTGCAGCCGCAATCCCTCTGTCAGGTTCCACTAGTTTCCGTCCCGCGGCAACCTATCCCAATCATAAAACAAAGGAAATCCTACTATGCAACCAAGAAAGCCACAACCAATATATGCAACCAAAGGTCCATTGTCCCTTTCTCCTACAGGCCCGGGTGGCTATAACACCTTGTATGTAGCAAATCTGCAACACTATGAAATCATTCTAGGAATGCTATGGGTAAGCCAGCACAACTCCAAGTTAGATTGGGAGCATGGAAAGGCTACCTTTACCAGTGAATGATGTATGACATGTAACGAAACCAATAAAGCTCAGAATACAGGGGAGGTAGTATGTAGGGCACTAGTAGGGAAGCCTACTGGTAGGGGGTAGGCTGGCAGGAGGGAGGGCTGGTAGGAGGCTAGTAAAGGACAAGTGGCTGGTGGCTGCTAGTGCACCTATTACGTGGGGTTTCAGGATGGTAGCTAGGTGGTATTGCTTACTTTGGATGCAATCTGGACATGTCTCTTCCTAGCATAAGCACTACAACTCACAGGATGCAACCAGACCTGGCACCCAGGTACTAGACGCACAGGACACACTGGACACAGAATCCTCCCTGCTTGTATCTAAAGTACCCTACCAAATCGTTCCGTACGACATGAGTTTTTACACCAAATATGGCCAAAAATCAACATTTTCAGAGCCACAATACCCACCACTGCCTTGTTAAAAACAACTAAATTTTTGCTATTGGGTAGGAAATCACTTTGGCCTTACCCTCATAGAAGCATGAATAAAAAATGATGAAATTGAGTCAATGGCATACAATGGTATCACCAA